TGTAGAACTTTCTAGAAGGGTGTGTGGGGGTTATGGACTGGAAATTCAGATGCCCTGGAACTTGCAGAACTTTCTAGAAGGGGGTATAGGAGTTATGGACAGGCCCTACCACTCACCTATGTGGTGGGGGTACCCAGATGAGAGCCAAAATGGGGCCCTCTAACCACATGACATAGGATAGAGGGACCTTCCCTTACGGTCAAAGTCAAAATAAACTTTAGAGGTTTAGGGGACATAGGCATACCTTACACAAATTACATTCACATATTTGTGTATGTCAGTAATAGAACCTAGTCATACCAATTTTCTAAAAGATCATCTTTTAAGGTTATCTGTTTTTCTCACTTCTATCCAGCTACAGACACAGATTCCAGTATGATCACCCTCACTTTATTTCTGAGCCAAACTGACCCAGTCAGGAAGCATTTTCAGCAACCCTGTTCATGTTACAAAGTATCTATTCCTTTTGGGAGAGAATCCCCTGAAAGTTTCTTCTAAGTAATTGTTTCCTTTAAAACTTTTAAAAAGACAGCATTATTTACAAAATTGTGTACTCTTTTAAGACTATATCTATTGTGTAAAGTAGTATCTATTTGTCTTTCCAAATAAACACAACACAAATTCTGACTTTTGTCTAAGAACATGATACCAATTTATCAGCAAAATAAATTGTCTGTGTTAATGTGATGGATCAGGAGAGACTCATCTGCCTTCCTTGGCATAAACCTTGCTTTGAGAGAAGGAGATGACTTTTGTACATAGCTAGCCAAGATTCAAAGGCTGTGCCTCTGGCCAAGGCAAAGAGATTTACTCTGGGTGAAATTAAATGAGACTCCAACTGTGGCCTCACCAGTACCTAAATGTCAAGTTCTCTGGTCCCAATCCTATCACCACATACCATTTGCCTAAATAAGTAAGTGACATATCTAGCTAGGTTGTTAAGTCTTCCTTGAAAAAATGCAGAATGGAAATGCTTTTCAAATGTGAGTTGTGACATTTGAATTAGAATTCTGCTTGGTATAAGAATATCCTTTTTTTTCTTTTCTTTTTTTTTTTTTTTTTTTTGGCTTGTCACTCACTGCAAAAGCAGTTTTTAAAAAAACCTGACAATTTGTTTTATCTTCTATGTATTTAATTTTTTGATTCTCAAACTGGGAAAACATGAAACAGGAAATCTCACATGTAACCAAGCTGAAACAAGAAAGACAATTACTTTTCCCTAATGAAATGTTCTATTTCCTTGGTTTGCTATTTCATTAATTTCCCAACTTCTTTTTATGCTGATCTAGACTTTAGGAGTTTTCCCTGAACACAACTTGAGCAAAAGATGTTTGGATTAACTCAAAAATTCACTGTGTAACTATGGTGTGAGAGGCCCTTTCTTATGACTGGGTAATGGTAAAAGGCAATCCAGATTTTTACTGTCACAGGACTTTCATTTTAGAGCTAGGATGAAGACAGATTAAAACAGGCAAAGCAATAAATATAAGAATTAAACATAATTACAGTTATGATCAAGAAAATAAAAAGATATATGTAACAGAGAATGACTTGGGGCCATATAACCTGCAGAAAGTTCTCTCTCAAGAGATAATATCTGAACTGAGAACTTACTGATGAAAAAGATGAAACAGTCGGTGTGAATATTTAGAGTGAAATCAAGGAAAACAGCCCAAGAAAGAGACCAGTTGAGTGTGTTCAGCATTGGAAAGGGAGTCATTGTAATGGGACCACAACAAACAAAGGAAAGAGTGATAAGAAATGAGGGAGGACCAATATCTGTGGGTGAAACTAATTACCTCGTTCTAAAGTATTATAAGGCAAGTTCCACTGTGTTTTTAATAGGAAGTCACTGGAGAACTTTCAGCTGAGGAGTAATATGATATAATATATGCTCTTAAGAGATTAGTTTGGTTGCAGGGTATAGAATGTATTGGGGGCCAGGGTGATAGAGTAGTTGAGAATGAAAGCAGGGAATCATTTAGGACAACAGTATAACTTGTAGCCTGGATCCCTTACTAGATCCCTTTGAGTCTTTCTATTAAAAAAAAAGAAAAAGAAAAAAAAAAAGATGGGGCACCTGGGTGGCTCAGTGGGTTAAAGCCTCTGCCTTCGGCTCAGGTCATGATCTCAGGGTCCTGGGATCGAGCCCCACATTGGGCTCTCTGCTCCTCGGGGGGCTTGTTTCCTCCTCTCTCTCTCTCTGCCTGACTTTCTGCCTACTTGCGATCTCTGGCTGTCAAATAAATAAACAAAATCTTTTAAAATAAATAAATAGATAGATAGATAGATAGATAGATAGATAGATAGATATCATCTTCCAGACTCTATGTTCACTCACTTTTCTTCTTGGCCTTTGACTTGGTTCATAATTTGAGGCTCCCTTATTTCATGGTCTCCATCTCCCTTTACCTAAGCTATGTCATGAAGTCACTTTTGTTTACTACAAATATTCAGAGTTCCTCCCTGACTCTGCCCCTGACTCTGAGCAGAGGAATGGAGAGAATTCTCTTCCCTGCTTGTGATCTCTCTCTCTGTCAAATACATAAATAAAATCTTTAAAAAAAAAAAAAAAAAAGAATTTTCTTCCTGGGAAAACCACCACAGCACATGGCAACTGCACTCAGAGTTGCCACCTTGACGTCCACATGTTGTCATGACCGAAGTTGATAATAGGTAGGTATATTGCATTTTTGCCTCTTTATAGCTTAGCTATATTGATGAGAAAACCAACTTCCAACTAGACATGGAAATTCATTCAAGTTACAAAAAAGCTATTTTTTTTTCTGATTCTCTTTCACCCCAAGTTATTGGATACTGGTATTTGAGTAACATTAAGAGGATTAGAAACATGCATGGTCTTCTGTTTAGTTTTCTGTCCTTATCATATATGTCAGACTAATTTCTGGAACATCACTTTTGTTGTCAGTTATTAATCTTTCAAGGTGCAACAATTAGTGTTTTGGGTTTGGTGAATAATTTCTCTGGTCTTAAAATGTTCTCTAAGTGTAGTGGCTCACATGTGTTTCTAATTTCATTTCTGGCTGGGTGTTTTAGTCTCCCACTTCAGTTGAGCCTTGATGGGGCCCAACTCTACGGAACTATTAGTGAAGAGAAATCTCTGAACTTAATGAAGGGAGGGAGTTATTTCCCATTGCTGAGAGGTGTTGGGTGATTTTTCATAATTCCTTTCTTCCAAAATCTTATCATTGTGATTTCTGTGTTTTCAAGGTATGGGTGTTCACAACAGAAATGATGTGGTGGTTTGAAATGAAAGAGCCATAAATAGAAAGAATATTGCCATGTTTTCTAACAGATGCTCTCTCTGGCTTAGAGCTCAAGTTTATCAAATTATTGAAAGGAGCATTTGTAGCATCATGTCTTGGTGAAGAATAGAGAAAAGAAAAGAAGAGAAAAGGAAAAAAGAAAAAAGAAAAGAAAAGAAAAGAAAAGACAAGACAAGACAAGACAAGAAAAGAAAAGAAAAGAAAAGAAAAGAAAAAAGAAAAGAAAAGAAAACCCTTAGGCTATCTTTCTGAAATACTTTGTGTATTTAGAATTAAATACTACATTTGAGTGGGCCAATGCCAATAATGGTAATATTTTAAAAATACATGGAGATTTGCTTGGGCCACTGTCATATTAGTCTTCTTCCTTTCTTGAGATAATTACCTTATTCTTGACATTGAGTCCAGATAACCAAATATTCACTTTATCTTCTCTGGGAGATAATACATTTGTTTTCATTTTAGCTACAGGCAATTTAGTACATGTCGGCCATGTAACAGATGTAAACTTTGCATGTTTTTTTGTTGTTGTTTGTTTCCTTCTTTCTCAAGCTCTTTATTACCTTCATACCAGTCTACTCTTTCAGTTTTAAAGGGGGATGAGCAGATTGCCACTCGGAGGCATCCTGCAAAGTAGGCAGGTCACCTGAAGGGCAACCTTTGCCCACACAAAAATTCATCTCACATTAGCAGTGAGCATTCGGGCATCACCCCGAATCATTATTTTGTTAACTGATAAGTTTAAGGCATTAAACTTTGCATGTTTAATACTCAATAGCCCACATCATTTTGTTTATACCAAATCTTAGTTCTAGAAAAACCTGTGGCTTCCATGGCTGAAGATGTAGAATTGAATGCAAATACTGTCATGGGGGTAATTGTGGATTATATTATGTATTGATGAAATAGTTCTCAATTTTCCAAACTAATTAATGCAGTGGAAAATCCTGGAAGCTGTCTGTGGACTTGGGATCAATTTGCTTCTATTGACCATTACTTCTACTTCAGTCTAAATCTTAACTACAAATGACCTTTAAGAAAGAAAATCAGTGTCCATAATTTATCAAATGAAAGTTCTTTTAAAACAATGAGCCAGGATAGTTAAAATTATGTTGTGTTAATAAATACCTCTAACATCTCAGTGTCTTCAAATACATGGCTTCTTCCTGGCAACTTTGCCTAAGAAATCAGTCCTTGAGGGAAGGCAAGACAAATGCCTGTTGAGCTAAGGAAGGAAAGAGAAGAGCATGGCATTCACCTCTCTGCCTTGGATTCTGATAGTTAGAAAATATGGACTGATGTTGGTATTCACATCCTTCCTGATACTTGCAACTCCATGAACTGATTGCCCCAGCACACATCCTAATGCTGGTAGAGACAAAGCACTTATTATAACTAAGTCTCTGATATTTCCTGTGGGAAAAAACCGGGTTTATCTGCCACTTTCCTGGCATCTTTGGACTTCTGCTTCTCTATTCTTCTATATTTCCACACCAGAAAATTGAAAAAACTATTTAATAATCATTCATTTGGAAGGTGGATCAGATTGAAAAAAAAATTTCTGAGTTGTGCCTTCAGTTTGCTTGAGGGAATTCCTTGGCCCACACTCAAGCATTCTGTGAGCATCCTCAGATTTCACCAAAAAGACTTAAACCATAATCTCAACTTCACTGTCTATTAGGCAGATATGTCTACCTTCACCTGGTAACATTGAACTGGTGTAGTTCAGACTCCCACCACGGGTATAAGTTTGTGCTCATTTCTACTTAAACTTACCAAGAACTCAGCTAAGTGTTTCTCTTTCTGACTTCCTTCCTTCCTTCCTTCTTTCCTCCCTTCTTTTCTTCTTTCTTTCCTTTCTTCCTTCCTCCCTCCCTTCCTTCTTTCACTTACCTTTTTTTTTTTACAAGCTTTGTTGAGGTACAATTTACATATAATAAGCTACACATATTTAAAAAATACAATTTGATGTGTTTTGACTTATATAAATGCCAGTGAAACCATCAGTATAATAGACATAGCATATCCATCACTACCAAAAGTTTTCTGGCGCCCTTTTTTACCCCTCCTCTGGTTCTCCCCTTCTCCCATTCTCTCCTTTCCATCACTACAGATTAGTTTGCATTTTCTTGGATTTTATATAAAGGTAATCATAGAGTATATAACTCTTTCATCTAATTTCTTTCATTCAGCGTAATTATTTTGATATTTATCCATGTCATCGTGTGTGTTAGTAGTTGATTGTTTTTCTTTGTTGAGTAGTATTCCATTACAAAGATGTATATCCCTGGCTATGAGTTGTTCCTAGTTTTTTGTTGTTTTTTTAAAATATTACTAATAAATTTTCTATGGCTATTTGTGTGCAATCTTTGTATGAACATATGCTTTCATTTCTCTTGGGAAAATATCCAATATTAGAATGATGGGATCATATGGTAGATATATATTTAATTTTTATAGGAAACTATCAAACTGTTTTCCAGAGTGGTTATACTATGCCATTTTCTCAAAAGCATGGAATGAAAGTTCCAGTTTCTGTACTTTTTCATCCAACATTTGATATTGTTAATCATTCCCACACTTTAATACATGTTTTCTGATGTTTCCATATGGTTTTGGTTTGCATTTCCCTAATGACTAATGATGTTGAACATCTTTCCATATGCTTATTTTCCACCCATACATCAATTTTGGTAAAATATCTGTTCAAATTCTTTGCCCATTTTTTACTTGAATATTTTTGTTTTCTTATGATTGAGACTTTAGTTTTGAAATAATTACAAACTACAGTTAAACAAGACTTTTAAAAAATACACAAAGATGTCATGGTCCTCAACAATCTGAGGGTAGTTTGTCAACCTGATATCCCCTACTGCATCACTAGGGGATATTTCCTATAAAAGGAGATTATCCTATATAAACATGATACAACTATCAACAAATTGGGAAATTAACATTATATGTTATTACCACTTAATTGTCAAACACCAGTCAAGTTTTGGCAATTTTTCCAAAAAACTGTTGTTCTAATTTTTACCAATTGTTCATAAAACAAAAAATCCATTCCAGAATCACACTTAGCATTTAATTTTCATGCTTTCCTAATTTCCTTCAGTCTGCAACATTTCTTCACTCTTTCTTATATCTTTAGGACTTAGGCATTTTAAAAGACTGCAGGTCAGTTATTTTGAAGAATGTCCTTTATTTTAGGTTTAAATTCTGATGATATATGTTTTATAGGAATATCTGGAAGTGATGATGAATTCCTATCATTGGATACTATTAGTTTCTTAAGACAACTTTACTGAGGTATAATTGAGAAGCAATAAACTGTTCCTGGTATACAATTTTAAATGATTTGACCTATGTATATACTGTTACTACAATCCAGATAATGAATACATCAATAACTCTCCCAAAATTATCCTGAAGACTTTGTTTATATCTCCCTCCAACCCTCATCCTTCATCCCCTAGACAACTGATCTGATTTCTGTCACTGTAGATTAGTTTATATTTTTTTAGATTTTTATTTAAATTTTATTTAAATGTAATATGTCTGGCTTCTTCCATTTGGCATAATTATTTTGAGATTCATCCATGTTGTCACATGTATCAATATTTATCCCGTATTTTTAAGAAGTATTCTATTGCATGGTATACCACAGTTGTTGACACTTGTTGATGGACATTTGGGTTGTTTCCAGTTTTTGACTATTACAAATAAAGCTGCTATGAACATTCATGCACATGTCTTTGTGTGGACATACGCTTTTATTTCTTTTGGAAAAATACTTTGGCATGAAATAGCTGGATCATATGGTAGGTGTATGTTTAACTCTTTAAGAAATTGCCAAATATTTTTCCAAAGCGGTTGTGCCTTTTTACATCCACCAGCATTTAATAAGAATTAATATTGTTGTTCACTTCCTCCCCAGCACTTGATAAGGGCAGACTTTTTAATTTTAGCCATTCTACAAGGTGTGTAGTAGTATCCCATTGTGGTTTCAGTTTGCATTTCCCTAATGACTAATAACATTTGGGGCTTTTTCATGTCCTTATTCATCATCCTTATATCATGATCTTTCTCTGAGTCACTCAGAATATGCTTGTTAGCAAAATTTCAATGCTGTAACCATAAGAATCTGTGGCTCTGTCATAATTCCTTATCTTTTTTGAGGGAGGGTGGGTCAAGGCATCTGTATTATCTGTTTCTAGCCATCAATACTTACCTGTATATTGAATAGTCGAACACCTGGTACACCCTTTTGCTTGATGCCTTCAAAAGTACAGTTATACTCGAGGAACCTGGTGGCTCAGTGGGTTAAAGCCTCTACCTTCGGCTCAGGTCATGATCCCAGGGTCCTGGGATCGAGCCCCACATCAGGCTTTCTGCTCTGTGGGGAGCCTGCTCACTCCTCTCTCTCTCTCTGCCTGTTTGTGATCTCTGTCTGTCAAATAAATAAATAAAATATTAAAAAAAAAAAGTATAGTTATACAAACACACAAAGACCTAGGTGTTCCCATCAAAGTACTTTTGTGGTTGTTATAGTTTGGTTCTGTTTGTTTGTTTGTTTGTTTGTTTACTTTGGTGCAGAAGCTTACTGACTACAAGAAGACTATGGTTCTCAGATATATAGAAATAATGAGAAATTTTCTATTTTGGCTTTCTATTTGTTGGTTTTCTTTCTCAAATAGCAGGGGCGTTTGTTTTTGTTTTGTTTTTTTAGTTAGAGATTTTTAATTTCTTAGAAGTACTGAATTTCATGCTAGGTGCAAAGACATGATCCTAGGAATAAAATATCTAACTAATGCTTTATGTACTTTGGGATATAAATAATAGTATCTTAAATACAAACAATCCTATTTCTTTTTCTCCTTTGTGCACAGCTCAACCACAATCCCAATCATCCCTTGGAGGTCAGAGTCATGTGACTGAGTTCTAACCAGTTGAAAAGGAATAGACATAATGTGCACTGCTTACAGATCTGGCTCATTAAAACCCATCCCACATGATCCACAATACTCTCTTACCTTCTTGTGACAAGTGTTGAAGATGATAGATCAACAAGATGGCACGACACTGGGTATCAGAATCACCATTTGGAAAACCACACATGGACCATGAACATTAGTTTTGTAGATTAAGTGAATAATTTCCATTGTTTTTAAGCCACTAAAACTTAGGAATTTGCCTGTGACTAGCACTCTTCTTACAACTAGCATTCTTCTTACTAATAAAGAAGCCATTAGGGTCGTAAGTCCATGTCAATAATAAGGTTTCTACGTTTTTCTACAGGCAGTTCTTCTTCCTTGTTCGGACTTCAGGCTTCTAGCCCTTGAAGGAATCCAGAAGCCCATTGAGACAACAGTGCTTGGAGTTTAATTGAAAGGCGTAACTACTGTGCAACAGTCCTTTTAATCAAGATATTAAAAGGAAACTTTATTAAACTGTGATTGAATATATAAAATTAAGGTGTAGTGCATTTTAAATATATTAGCTCAAATTATAAAATATTAAATTAAGATTTAATATATTAAATTAAGCACAGATTAAACTAGATTGAAAAAATACTTGTAAAAATCTCAAATACACCAGAGGAATTATTAACCATTTTATTTAAAAATGAAAGTCTAGCAAGTACTAGAGCCATAAAAGGGGGACTATTGAGGGAAACCTAGCCACATTGGGTATACAGCAGTTTCTCCACAAAGTAAATGAGATTATCAAAAAGCTGAAGCAGAAATTTG